ACAATACCCCTCCCCTCCTTCGCCCATCTCTTTGGCAACCCCACAGCAAGTGAGTTCTCCAGGCGTTATGCAGGAGACCTGCTGCTTGTGGCCTATGCTTGCTTTTACTGCCACCAGTTTTCAAGCTTCACCTTATGTACATATATCCTCAGATTCCCCTCGCACTTCACTGTGGTATTTATACAACAATATTTTCTGAAACCAGTTGGGGCAGTGGGGAGTGTCAGGCCAAACACATTTAGAAAGTCACCTCATTGTTGTTTGACAGAACAGTAGCTGCACATTTTGGTCCATATCTCAGCCCCTATATGAGCTAAAAACGTGCTTTTTTATAAAATTAAAAAAAGGAAAAAGAAAGCATGGAATCCATGTAACCTAACAGTACAAGTGGACACCTGGTGGCATGCCTAGATTCCAGATAAAAGCTGACTGATCAGGTAATATGACAACCCTCCCTTCACCCCAGCTTCCTGAAAAATGCAAATGCATAATGCTTCCATTCAGTAACATTCAGCTGTACTTCACCTCAATAGCTAACTACAATGCCTGGAGTTTTTCCAAAACTGGGCCTCATGATGGTTTACAAGATTAAGACAATTCCAGTTTAAAAGACACTGAGAAAGCACATCCATGCACACATTACGTATCATACACATGATTAACATAATATTCAATTAAATGAACTATAATCAAAACATTAATGAATTAAAAACAAATTTAAAACACACCTGCTTAATGTAAGAAATAAAAGGCTCTTTCCTTAAAATAGCCTGGTTGTGACATTGGGAAAATAATCCTCTCTTGGCCATAGAGTAAATCATGACCAACCTCCTCTGAACAGGAAAATCCTACAAAAGTATCTCCATGTTGCATTTGACTTAGGACCACATCAGATGCAGTCTTCTCCATGTCTTCTCCCCATTTCTCTATGCTGCTGAAATGGAGTCCCATGGAGTCCATCATATGATGAAAGGCAACTCCCAGAAAACCCCATGGGACTTGGTTTTGGCAGCCTTTTGAGGATTCAAGTGTTTCTCAATCTCTAATTTGCGAATATGGAAAGGAAATGGAGAAAGGAAGTGGGGAAAAGACAGGAAACAACGTGGGAGGGGAGGCCATCCCAGAAAGTTGATAGGGAATGAAAAGGGGGTTCCTTCTGTTTTTCCCTGCTTTCCTCCTCTTTCTCCCCACCTGTCTGATGAGGACCTTAAAGGAACATACCAAAGTTGTTGAAAGCCTACTGGAATAATTACAAATAATATTTGCCTGCAAGTAGAAGAACAACAGAGAAGAGACCAACATAATCCCTCTTGGGAACAACAGAACCAAAAACAAATTTAGTCCCCATTATGGAATCTGATCACATAAAAATCCTTCTATCAATCAAAGTTTGGGGGACTGGTTTTCAAACCACCAGGCAATTTTCTTTTTTTGCAGTTTGCAGAGTTCTGCACAGCTCAGAGAGTTTAAAAAGCAAAGAGGAATGTGGTCAATAACCACTTCCTACCATCAGCAGACCACAGCCCCACCACAAGAATAGCTTCATAAATTTGCCCCAGATGATCTGGCTTTGGCCCCAGATGATTTGGCTATGATATTTGGTCACCCTATTCATTTCCAGGGTTTGCTGGTTAGGCTGTTGTCTCCTCTTTCACTGCTCCATGTACATCCTTCCTGAATGGTTTGAGACCAGTCACAAGACAAACTTAGATTTCTGATTTTAAAAAAATGTTTTATGCAGCAAATGAAACAATATATCTACTACATTTAATCAAAATTGCAGTTCTTTGTTATTGCTATTATGTATGTATGCATTTATTTATTCCCCACTTTATCCCCCCAAAGGGGACTCAAAACGGCTTGACATAAAAGCATTAGTATACAATTAAAAATATGCAAATATACTAACATTTAAACAGAATTTAACACTGGTCTCAAAATACCTTTATAGACATAACTATCACAGCAGAGGAAGAGGAAGACATAAAATAGCATGCTTAGAGAAAGTATATTTAACTACACTTTTTTTGAAGAAAAAAAAGTATAATTCAGCAGCTGTCAGACAATTACAGCACTCACTATTAATACATTGTAAACATAGCAATGTAGTTCCTGCTTATTCGAACCATAGCGGCCTCCCTGAAGACATAGGTACAGTGTTTTTGAAAATGCAGAATTAAAAAAAATACCGATAACCAAACTGAGTATTAACAGTCCATTTATGAGTATTGTGGCTGCGTTTTCTGAATAAACATGCATAGGATTCCTCAGAAACGTATTGTCATTCATCAGTTGTATGGTTCCTTATTCCTATGTGTATAAATGCCCTCCTTGAGAGCACTTGTGGGCTACATGACCCCCCCCCCCCGGGCCATATTTGCAACCCCCCTTCATCATCTCAAATATGGCCCTGGGGGTCATGCAGCCTGCATTTGCCACCACAGTTCAGGTCACGCCCTCTCCAAAAGCCTCATCCCTTGCACCCAGAATAGGGAGACTCCACATCTCTAAAAAGTTACCAGAGGTACTGGAGATTTCTTGTTCTCCTTATTTTTGAATAGTTTTCCGCTCCTACTTTTGTACTTTATCACATGAAACTGCCATCCCATAACGTTCATGCAATGATCCAGTCAACTTATCAGGATGATCACTTCCAGTATACTACTTTGGTGGTTGTGCAGCAGCAACAAATCCATTGCTTTGTGGTCCCAGCTGGACTTCCTGTTTGGGTTGGGAATTCCATTCTCTCCCAATTTGCAAGCTTTGGAAACTTTAGCACAGCAGGTTAACTGCCCGCTGCAGTAATAAATCTTGCCAGTTGAATGATTGATAGTTCAAAACCTGGGTCAGGGTGAGCTCCTGACCTTCAGCCCAGCTTCTGCCTAGCTAGCAAATAGAAAACAGCAATTGTGAGTAGATAAATAGGTGTTGCTTCGGTGGGGAGGTATTTAAAGGCACCCATAAAGAAATTCCAGAAAAATGCCAGCAATTTGATCAAAGAGGAAGTTTATGAAGAAAAGCTCTTCGGTAGGGAAGATGGAGAGACAGCACCCTCCCGTGGCGGAAACTGAGCACAGCCTTCAAGATGCCGAAGATGGGAAAGCCTCTCTCTATACACACACACACACACACACACCTCTATCAAGTTATCTGTCTTGTCATTGTATAATCGGCATTGAATGTTTATGTGTGTTCTGTGATCCGCTCCGAGTCACCTTTGGGGTGAGAAAGGTGGAATATAAATACTGTAAATAAATAAATTAAAAGGAACTTGTAATAAATTACCTGTAGTAATTGTGAAAAGGAATGGGAGAGAGCAGGACAATCATGCCCCGATGATACTTCTGTGCTGGCATGCAGATCAGGATCTTGTATCAAATAAATTGCAGTACCAATGAGGCCAGGTTTTTTTCCATCAATAGTAGAGGGCAGGTTAGTTGCAAAGAGACATTGAACAGGTAGTGGGTTGTGCACAGCATTGTGTGATAAATACCACCACCTACTTCTATGAGTTTGCCATCTCTGTGTGATAAAGTCTTTCATCTGAAGTAGTCTAATCAGTGCACTTGTTGAGACAACCTCTCATTTCCCCTGCCTTCTTTATGTCCCCTTTTCATCTACTGTGTTTTATTTATTATTTATCATGTCAGAAGCAAACTGAGAATAGATTTATAATGTATTTAAAAAACCACAAACAAATTCTTTAAAACACAGACTTACCTCTTCTTATTTGTTGTCTGTCAACTTCCAAGTAATTTCAATGGATGAAACTTAAAGAGTGTATTGCTGATATGGAATTCACCAGGGCCATTTATATCTTAAATTCTCCTTAGCAATCAACAGCATTCAATAGCTGAATATATACTGCACTGTGTAACTATATTGGCCGAGCTAATAGAAACTGAAGAGACTGCAATCCTCCTAGCCTTCCCCATCCAATAAGGCTCCCAACCAGTTTTAGATATGCCAATTTCCACACCATCTTTTGAGAAAGGAGAACCTTTTGTGCTCAATGCATGTTATCCCTGTAGGAAGTTCCTCCATTTCTCTCAACTTACTTATGTACTTCCCATGTTATTTTCCAGATCCCAGATATATGCTAAGGATTGAGATAGAAAGAGGATTGCTTGAGCAGTCACAGAAAGAGGGCCATCCACAAAGTTTCCATCTAGCTCATCTGAAACCCAGACATGTTGAGAGTCATTCAGAGTGACTAGACAGGCTTGTGGAATTTAGTAGGGAGGGTGTTTTCCCATGATGGTCAATGAATATAAACTTAGGAAAGCCCATGGTTTGCAAAAAACACATAGAGAGTGCTAAATGTACCTGTGTCTGAAGAAATAGTTGTTTGGGCAATAATGCCACAGTCCAGAAAATGTGGAGTTTGGTCATTCCTGATGTCTGTTTGTCAACTAGTCAGTCAGCCATCTATCATCTATCCAAAGTAAGCAAATGGCAGTCTTTCTAAGTAAGAGTTCCTATTAACATATTTCATTAACTGGGCTCCATTACTGGACATGGGAGTTGTCCTCCTCTTGTCTTCCTGAAACACATGACATCTTCTGAACGTCACTTGACCATCCACCAATAACACTTTTAAGATTCACTGGCAAACTTTGGTGGATGATTTAGATGATTTAGAAGTGACTTTATTATATGTTTGTTCATTTTTAGACCTGGAATATTTTTGAAGAACTCATCAAAAAAGCAAGACATAAATATAAGTAATGAATAAAGTAGCTTTTAAAGGGACAAGAAACACTTGAATGTGATGATAACTATTTGGGGTTCATGTTTTGGCAATGGTCAGGTTGTCAAAGTTAATCTATACAACATTCAAAGAAGTGATATATGAAAGATTATATACTATGTAACCTGCTGCTGGAGCCCCCGGTGGCACAGTTTGAATCCGAGAAGGTGGCTGAGCTCCCACTGTTAGCCCAGACTTCTACCAAACTAATAGTTTGAAAACATACAAATGTGAGTAGACCAATAGATACCGCTCAAGTGGGAAGGTAATGGTGCTCCATGCAGTCATGCCGGCCACATGACCTAGGAGGCGTCCGGCTCTTCGGCTTAAAAATGGAAATAAGCACCACCCCCAAAGCTGGATATGACTAGACTCAATGTCAAGGGGAAACTTTTACCTTTAACCTTCTGCTATTGTATAAGAAAATGCATTTTGATTTCAGGCATGTTAAAAAAGCAATTACAATATTCCAATTGTTTGATGTGGCTGGTTGTTTCTTTTCTGGAAACTCAGATTTTCTTTAGATTCAGCAGAGCACAGGCGCTTGGGTGTGATCCAACAAGCACCCTGACAGAATACACATCTAAGCCATCATATTTGTGCCATACCTGTGAAAGCTGCCCCCTCTTTTCCACTTCCTTCCTGGGTATGTTAGAGCAGCTAGAAAGTGGCTCATGGGTACATCTCCTTTCCTATGACCATTGATCAGATGCACAGCTTTGCCTGGGCACACTCTGGCTGTCTTTACAAACCCCAGAAAGAAGGAACAGCTTCAGTCTCCAACATAAATTGCAGAATGATGATGACGTGATGATGCAAAGATGGAAACATGCACAGCATTTGTTATTCTTTGTAATTCCAGCTATCTTTATTATTTTATGAGCTTTTAAAATGTACAGCAGTCTTATGATCTTTGTGTCAGATTATATATGATAGTAGTTGTATGTGGTCAGAAGTCCTGGTATTATGAAACAGAGGAAGCAGGGGTGGGAAGAGAGAGGGAGAGAGGCAGGAATGAGGAAAGGACAAACTGGATAAAACTTGAAGAATGTAGGAATTTGGAAAGGACTTTTTCCTTTGAGAGAAGAATTTTCCTTCTGTCTTTGTTTATTTGTCTTAACCAGCTAATGATCAGAAATAGATGTATGAGTCCAATAGGTTTACTGAGCTAGCAAAGAGGGAGCTTTTTTGTTCTGGGTGTCTCCAGGTGACACTTTTATTGTGCAATTGTCTTCCACATTTATTCCACAGACATCATTATCTTCTACTTGTAAAACCTCCCATAGCTTCTGTTTTTTTTCTCTTGCCACAAAAATAAATTAAAGAGAAAAAGATGCAATGATTTGACAGTGTCTTTTGATTGATAGCATCAGCAGATACCTATCAAGAAGGACCCAAAATGTTGCTTTCAAGTAAACTACATGTGCACATGGACACACATTCAGTAAATTAGAGTTTCAAATGTTGGTAGAAATGTCTTCAGTTGCAGAATTTCAGGGAGAGGTTGATTTCTCTCTTGGTAAAAATCCAAACCTGTCAGAAGCTCTACATCACGGACCCGGGCTGTATGGGTTTGCATTCTCTCTTCAACCCACTGATGCTCCGGCAGATTTTCCTGATAAAGCAAATTAGCATGGAATTCAATCAAGTAAGTTTGAGAGTTGAGTAAAGGATTTGAGCTTATGGCTGCCCTTCATTACTTTTCTCAGGAAATTGCTGTAGTTCTGTAATGCAACATCGGAGCACTAGACCAACCACCATTGGTTATTGCTTTCATTCCCAGACTTTGCTTATTACTTCACAGGAATGAACAATGACTTCCATGTGAAAGGTGCAAGGAATATGCTATGAGTTATAGGAGACATCTATGTTGACCAAGTAATGTAGGATGAAAGTGGCAGAGGAGGCAGTGAATCAAATGTGCACCTAGTCACATGTAAAATGCATTAACCGGATCGAGGCCTGGGT